ACACTAAAGGCCAGAAGAAGCAAAAGCACTAGTTAAAAGAAGCAAAACACTAACTAAAAGCTACAAAAACAAAAATGAAATTCTGGTAAAAAGTATAAAAATGATAGCCTACAGCTAAAAGTAGCAATAAGATAACTAGAAGCTCACTGTAATAAAAGATTAGCTTAAAGCTAAATGCAGCAAAAGTAGTAAAAGGCTATTTACGAACTAAAAAAAATGCATAAGGTAACAAAAATGCAAAATGATAGCTAAAAGATAAAAGTAACCAGTATCAAAAATCTAGCTAAAAGTTTAGTGGCAGATAATTAACTAAAACAGGCAAATGCTGAGCACTAAAAATAGCATAAGTAGACAAAAAATAAAGCAAGCATGCTGAAGAAAATTTCAAAAAGAACAAGATTTTGAAGAAATCAAACAGATCTCAATGTAGCCTATTACAATAGAAAAAAATATGTGTAAATAAAGTTTAATATTTTTAAATGTATAAAAGTTACAAAAAAACAAAAGTCAGAGCACCCATCTTCCGAATGAACCGAATGTTTTGATATATGAATATCTAAAATAGAATATGCAAAAAAAAAAAAAACTTCAAAAAGTTCCAAAAAATGTATGTAAAAAAACAAAAATATAAATCATTAATGTGAATTTTAAATCAGTATTCACACAATTACCTGCACATTAATTGTACCTCAATGTTTTAAGACTTAACCGTTTCTTTTTGTGCAAGCTATAAAATGGGGGAAAACACGGGAGCAACATGGTAACAATCACTGCAAGTAAAATCATGAGAGATAGGTCTGGAACACCAGGCGTGAAGTGAAGCTGGAGGACTGCAAGCTCTTTGCTCCTCTCCCTCTCCATCCCTTCCAGCTAATGTATCTCTCTCAATAGCCGGGGACAGAGGAGAAAAGACTGCTTGTGTGAAGCACAGAAAGCCCCATCATTCTCAGCACTAATTGGCAAGAAAGCTTCCGTTTCATTCACTCCTGTGTGTCTTTTGTTGTTCTGTTGCTTTTTTACAAGTGTAGAGGTTTTAAGGGTTATTTCAAAACCTTGCTGATTTCTGCAGACCCCATTGATTGCAGTTGTCTTTGTGCCCATTTATTAATTTGCTTTCCTTTTTTTTCTTCTGGTGAATACACAATAGCACATTATTTTTCACACTGAAATGCATTAAGAAGTAACTAATTGAACATTTGATAGAGTCTTGTCGAGGCTCAGTTTTGAACATGTCCAAGAAGTGGGAAAACATTTAATCTCTAATGAATGCTGCTGCTTTCACACTCGAAGAGAGCTTTGCTGCTGTTCAGCGACAGAACTGAAAAAAAAACGGAGGTCGTGGGCATGAAAAAAAACGGAGGGATGGCTTGTCTCCTTTCATCACTGCATTCGAGTGGCTGTATAAAAGCCTGCATGCAGTTGTATTTTTGCCACTGTTACACTTTATCCTGTTGTAAAATGCATTCAGGGGGTTTTGACTGTGTTTCATTGGTCCATTCTTCTTCTAAGTTCTCTTAACCCTCTCACACATGAGTTTTGGATTAATCCATTAGATGAGTTGAGGCATCCTCTCTGTAAAATGGGAGCTSGGACACACATACTGTATGTTGCATTAGGTCCTAATGGGTTAAATACAGCTGTTTTCCTTTGTAAGTCAGTTACTTTAATCGCCATATTTTTAAAATGTTTTGCTGTCTAAATATTACAACTACTTTATAGTTAAACTCTTTTGGTTTAGGAATAGGTTCATAATAAAATACTAATTGTATAAAAACACTGCCTACCTAGTAGCTATTAACCTACAATTGCTTATCAGTGGTCAGTAGTGTTGTAATCAAGACCCCTACCCCCCAACCCAAGACCAAGTCAAGATCAGARTGTGTCAAGGCTGAGACAAGACCAAGTCCAAAACTATTAGTGGTTGGATCAACGCTAGACCATAACTGAGGGGATGGGGGACAGTAGTAACAAAAAYACATAATTAACGAGTCGTGCTTGGATTTGAATCAGCACATTTTACATCCAATGAAAGCAAGRATGTCAAAAATAAATTGGACAATATTCTGGAAATTTAGTGATTTTTGTCCTGATGCATCTCAGTAATCCAGGTAAAAAAATCAAAAGGAAAAAAAATTGTATAGGTCYTCTGGACGGGTTCTTCTTTAATGAAACGTTTTGTCTCTCTTCCAAGAGACTTCTTCAGTCTGAGAGTTTCAGGCAAAATTCAGGCTTTTGAGTCCTGCCTCCAGGTGACTCATACTCACATCACATGGCTATTGCTCACAGGTGACTGATACTCACATCACATGGCTATCATTCACACCTAATTAATACCTATTGTTAACAGGGGGTGGAGTGATACTGCCAATGGCAGCGCTGTAGGAGGGGGACAGCTGAAAACGGAGGCCCCCACCTCTGTTTAATGATGGACGGTCTTTCTTTACAAAAATGGCTTCTTTTACTCCTCTCTCAAACCAATAGGGAGGAATGTTGGTTTGAGAGGAGTAAAATAAGCCATTTTTGTAAAGAAAGACCGTCCATCATTAAACAGAGGTGGGGGCCTCCGTTTTCAGCTGTCCCCCTCCTACAGCGCTGCCATTGGCAGTATCACTCCACCCCCTGTTAACAATAGGTATTAATTAGGTGTGAACGATAGCCATGTGATGTGAGTATCAGTCACCTGTGAACGATGGCCATGTGATGTGAGTAYCAGTCACCTGTGAACGATAGCYATGTGRTGTGAGTATCAGTCACCTGGAGGCAGGACTCAAAAGCCTGAATTTTGCCTGAAACTCTCAGACTGAAGAAGTCTCTTGGAAGAGAGACGAAAAGTTTCATTAAAGAAGAACCCGTCCAGAGGACCTATACAATTTTTTTTCCTTAGTGATTTTTCCACATTTTTATCTTGAAATAAAATCCAGAGTCCTCAATGTCTGAGACTGAGACAAGACCGAGTGAAAATGCGGTCAAGTCCCAGACGGGATYATCAAAAGGTGGCCTTGAGACTGATCTCAACACCAAGACCACTTTTGAGAAATATGACAAGTGGTAAGATTTAGGAGGCAACAAATCCAAGATGGGAACCAGSTCTCCTGGGGGATCTCAAGCCATTTTGTGTAACAAATAGTCCCTACAGTGAGTTCTGAGTCTGTCCCAAGGTTTCCTCCYGATTGGCTAACCTCCAAAGGGAGGCATTATATTCAGATGACTGAACCACCTCAGATGACGTTTTTAGATGTGGAGGAGCAGTGACTCAGTCAAACAGTTTACCTGACCTGAGAACCCTAGTGGACTGTAACAAAGTCCAAAATTCAACACTTTTATCAGTTTAATTCATGAATGATTTGCTGTGTAAGAAAAAAAAACGATCCTTAAACACGTTCAGAACCCCGTTTATCCAATTTGACCAAAACCCTGAAATCCAAGGAGGGTTTCCATCTTGACAGAACTCTCATTGATTCGGTCYGGATCAGTTTACCTTGTTACCATGTCACACTGTGTTCTAGTCTGATCTCCATGTCCATTTCCGCTCAGCTTCCCCTCCCAGTCACAGCCACGCTGCCCGACAGAGTTTTCTTTGTCCCCGTGGCCACTCATCCATCCTTAATCTGCCGTCTTTTACCACTCTGGAGACATGCTGCATGCTTTCAAAGAGTACAGGGAGCTGTTGATAGATTTGTCCCCAGGAGGGACAAATGACTGCATGTAGGGTTTAATAATGTCTTTTACAAGTCTAGTTGGGCTACGAAGTGCATATGCAAGACCTTTGGAAATACATTATGGCTGTTAACAAAAACAGTCAATTTACAGTTATCCTGTATCCTGTAAAACAGTGGCCTGCAGGTGGAGGCTCTCAGCTTGAATTTTTAAGGTTTCCATACTCGAATGGGATTAAATATTAAAGACTTTAAAGGCAGAACATTACTTGAAAAAAATGCATATTATGGACTAATTTTCAAGTCTCTTGGATTATTTTATAATGAAAAATCACAGATCTGTAGCCATTTTGGTCAAACCTCAAAAATAACCTGATGCATGAGCTCATTGAATATGACAAGATTCGGATGACTCTCAGCTACTACCACATCCGATTGCAGCTCTATAATTGACAAACTGACTGAGTTATAGCCATTTTTGTGTCGGGAAAGGCTGTTTAGCTGTGGCAGATGCACATCCAATCATTACATTTTTCATGTGGCACTTCTGACAGTAGACTAATATTTAATAACTAACTCATATTCTGAACATTGCCCTACTGTTGTCATACTTTTTACTGCATGTCAGGGGTGTCAAACTCATTTTCACCRAAGGCCACACGAGCATTATGGTGGCCCTCAAAAAGCCAGTTGYACCGTAAATAACTTTGACGTTTCATGTTTAACTTCAACTAAACACAAAACATCATGTTCCTCATCTCATTGTTATGGCTGAGCACYGCTAACAAACAATAACTGAGCTCTACGTGGTTTTTCCTGCATAGAAACAGTGTTTCAACATCTCTTATAAACGCTGAAAACTACTAAGTGTACGAATGACCAAATGTGGAATAAGTAATACAGAAATACCATTAAAAGTAAAAGTAGGAGAGTTTTACTCACTGACGAGTTGTGGAGAGTAGATGCCGTTTTAAATTCTGAACTCTTCYATTTTCCTACAGGAAATTCCCATGCATAATCAACATGTTATAGGAGATGTAATTTATGGTCAATACTGGCTTTAAAGCACCTTATTTCGAGACWTTAATACTGTGCTATCCAACCAAATTGCTCAGTTACCTAAAGCCAACAGCTCAGGGGCCGGACAAGTATTATCTTTCACTTTTAAATGTATTTATTTTAATCATAAATTTAAAGTTTACCATTGCTATAAAAACAATTATATTAATTAAAAAAAAAAATAAATAAATAAATAGCTCTGTGTGTATACGTGCCTCCATTGGCAGGCCTTGAATTTAACACATGCTGTATGTGAAAGAATCCAGAACAAGGTGACCAGCAAACTGTAAATCTTGACCATTAAATAATCARACATCTTTATTACACCACAAATCTGAAAAACTCATACAATGACTTAAAACATCCCCCGATACATAATCATGCTTAAACCAATCACTGTTGGCTATTAACACTTTAAAGTGCTTGAARTTTAAAAACAAAAGACATTTTAAAATGATAACATCATTATTTGATAAAACTTACATGCACTCACCACTTTTTAAATTTATATTAATTTCCCTTRAGTTACTCCAATTTCTGTAAGAATTTCTTTCAGGTCTGGCTGGCTGCTTTGGTTTAATTATCCAAATACAAAAAAAAAGGATAAAAAATGCACAGATATTCAAGTGAAGCTTTAAAAAAATCTGCCTGTGTTGCTTGTGAAAGCACAAGTACATCAGGTAAAACTGTAAACAGAAATGAGGAGCTTGACATTTCAGGTAGAGATGCCACGCAGAGATACAATCACCAGAGAGAGATTCTTTTATCGTATTAGCTAAAGGCACTGATATCGTGATAGAAATAACTTCATTTTGGCCACTACCATGCTCGGTAAATGCAATTGGACGCCGTTAGCGTWGCCGCGTTAGCTCCGGTAAGCCACAAAGTAATACAGGCACAGTTATGAAGGGTGTTGGAGTCTGCGCCTGTGTGCTCTYGAACAGGTTATCTCCTCTGAGCGGTGGAGCATATTAATAAATCAACCTACAGCTGCACTCTCTAATCAGACAGTAAATAACTTCCCATTAAACCCACAGAGGCAGTAACACACTCGTCGTGCCACAGGTCACCCATTTTTAACTGCCACAATTACCACATTAAACACTCGTCCCTTGAATTGATGTGACTCAATCGGCCAGCTAAATGATTAATTAATAGCTGGTGTAAAGTGTTGGCCAGCCCTAAAAATTCAAAGCATGAAAAAAAAAAATCAGGTTAATTATCACAAATCTCATTAAAAGATATGGCTTCAGAAAAAGATTCAGGAAAACAGCTTGTTTTGCCAAAAGCACATAGATATTTGAAAGTTGATTTGTTACAACACTGCATAGAAAAAACACTCATTAAAAAGAGGTGGATTTTTTTTTTGCATCAACCCCTTTGTCAATTAAACAGTTTTTAAGCTTTTATAGTGTCAGCTGTGAAACAGTACGCAACATCTGCACACCTTCAGATGCTGAGTGTGATGCTGTGAATGGTGCTTGCTGGGATTTTGGCATCGTCTTCCKCACCGCTGATCTTGAAAATCACAAAGGTGTTTGAAGGGATCGTGGCGGTGGCGTTCAGAGATTTGCCCAGCCAGCCATGAGAGCCACGCTTATACATTTTCACTGTTACCTGCATGTAGGACAAAGAGAAACAAGTATTAAATTCAATCTCTAAACCGGGACTGGACAGGTGGCTTGCATCCTGTCCAAGGGTGACTTCTGTTCAGCCCACCAAGTTCTTCGAATCTAAGAGCTGCTTTGAGAATTTCGAAGGCAAATGTGTTCAGTCTGCTTAGAGATAGTCTGCCATGAAGGATTTTAATACAAGTCACCACTTCAACACTTAAATATGAGAAGTTTACTAAAGACAAGTACATACACAACAGCAACTTTTTACCAGAACCACATCTTCACAGGAGTCTGCACTCAAGGTGGCTTATGTTGTTGCACTTCAGCTCACTAAAATAAGTGTTTACTTCAAATGTTTTGTATTCATATTTATTAAATAAGAATACAACTGTTATACATGCATCTGAGCATGAAATATGTAAAGTTACTGTAATGGATTGTGTTTTTTTTATCCATATATTTATTTATACGCACACATCAGACCATCAAGTGCCCCTGTCTGACTATTTTTTAAACGTTTTAGCCTAACTGTGGCCCATGGTTTTAAAAAGCATATAGACATGAATAAATTGCTATATAACATGTATTTAATAAATAYTGACATAAATTGGTCCTTGGTTCAAACCAAGTTTTGAATTTTGGCCTGCTTGTGTAACTGTGTTTGACCCCTACCCCCCTGCTAGGGTGTTAATTTTGGCCATGACAGTCAGTTACAGTCTGGTGAGTAAATGTTGCAACACACTGCATTGACTTCTGTCACCAAGCTGTTTGTGTTTGTTTGTTTGTTTACCATTATTTAACCAGGCAAATCCCACTGAGATCGCAGATCTCTTTTTCAAGGGCAGCCTGGATTTGAAGGAAACATTTTTTGTGTTGTAAGGGGAAACTGGAGTACCCRAAGTAAACCCATGTGAGCACGAGGAGAACATGCAAACTCCACACAGAAAGACCCCAGGTCCGAACCAGGGATCAAACCCAGGACCGTCTTGCTGTGAGGCGTCGGTGCTAACCACTGAGCCACTATGTTGTCAAAACTCTCTATGCTGTCCTGCACCAGGACATCTATGAGCATGGAAGATGAAAGAAACAGATCATTAGAAAATATGAGAGTCAGACACAGATTAAGTTGAAATGTCAGAGCATGGACAGAAACAGAAACAGAGCTCTCTGATGAAGGACAGCTGGAAGGAACAGGAAGATCCTCCATAGAGCAAGAAAGCCACTGCAATTTTGTGTAAAAAAAGAAAAAAAACTTGATAGTTGTTTTGTTGACACCAAAATAAAGTATGCACAAATTGTCATTACTAGTCGTCGTTCTGGTTTTGCCAATTTGATTGTTACAGAAATCAACCTGTAATGCTGAATAACATCTGCATCAGACAGAACACAGCTACTGATTTGAAATAAAGACAACATACAAGCTGTGTCTGAAATAAAGCAAACACTACTAAGATTCTGTGCACATAGTATCCATCCATCCATCCATCCATCCATCCATCCATCCATCCATCCATCCATCCATCCATCCATCCCTGCTTCTTTCTTTCAGGGTCACGGGGATCACTGGTGCCCATATCCAGCAGTCACTGTGTGAGGGGCGGGGTACACCCTGGACAGGTTGCAAGTCCATCACAGGGCCACACAGAGACAAATGAGACAAACAACCATTCAAACCCTCACTCACACCTAAAGTTACCAATTAACCGAAGAATATACGACTACTCTAACGGTGTCTAAATATTAAATGCTTTAGTTACCCATCCCTGCTCTAAACCAAATAAAACTAGATTCTTAAGATACATCTGATAGATGTGACCCAGATTTGAATGTTGAGTCAGAGCTAAGCAGAGGCAGATGCCTTTCACCTTGACCCCAGCATGTAAAATCTGTTGCTCAGCTGCTGGGTCAGTAGATGAAAGAACCAGGCTGACGTTAAAAATAATCTTCTGTTCAAGGATGAATTAGGTTCAAGTAGAATGATAAAAATGTGAATTTTGTAAAAGCAAAAGCAAAACTAGGCTTCATTTGATAATAAAACAATACCTTTAAAAGAATCACTTCAAAGTTAACATCTTTTCCATAAAGCAAGTCAAAGAAAATGATAAAAGCTCTGATAAATTACTTGATTTTTATTATTTTCTACTGAAAGGCAAAAGCAGGGAAAAAGTAATTTTCATCTCACTGGATAAATTTGAACTAAATCAGCTGAATCAAGTAGAAAAAAAAACATTTTTTGAAACATTAAAAACTGTCAAACATTAATTCTCCTTAGTAACTGTTTAACCGTAACCTTTTCCATCAGTTTGCTAAAACACGGAGCATCTCTGTTAGGACAGGGTTCCAAACAGAAGTCTTGAACAGAATAAATATTAAATTAACCTTGTTCGCAGCATGAGCTTTAATTCCCCTCCACATCTTGAATGGAGTCATACCTCTTGTGATTTTATGTAGGTTGTAGGGCATAATACGCTTTAACACTACATCAAAACTGCCTGTTATGTTTCAAGCCCGACAATGGAAGCCTTAACTAGATTTAGACATGCAGGTAATTGAACCACATCCATTTCAAAAAGAATGCCACGCTGCATCTCTTGTTTGGCTGCATTTACGGGGGATAACAGAATATTACGGTGCCTTTTCACAGCTCCATTTTCTTTCACTTTAGCATTAGGCAATTTTTCAATTATTTTTTTTCCATGTACTTTCATCCCCGGCTCTCCATAATATCTAGGCCTTTTAGTTAATGCTAGCGACAGTCAGAGCCTAGTATATCGGCCCTTGTCCATTTTGCAGGTCATTGTGGAAGCCCAATAGGCCTTTTATTACGGCAACATCAAAAGGCAGATAAGCATTAGAGGTGGGGAAAATACCCTGCACTAGATATGTTCCCTCTTTCCTTTGTCTGCTATTGAAAGTGATCATTTTAATAGTGAAGAGGTTGCTGAGCTTTGGGGCTGATGGGAAGTGCGACACCCCTGACAGCCTTTGAGCAAGTCGATAACACACCACAAGCGCACAGCACACCCTCAGCACCTGCACGCTCTCGCTGCTAACCTAATTATCTACAACAAAGGCCGCTGTGATTTCAGACACACATCTTTTCACCATTTACTTACTTATTAGTGTGCATTAAAAGGGGTAGAATATTGAAAAAAAAAACCCACTAAACAATTGTGTCTTCTATTGCAGCCTTGGCCGAATGCCAYATGGCTTGTGTTACAATAGCGTCAGGCACTTCAGAGTCAGTGAGTGTCTATTAATTTGGGATGCATGAAAAAAAATGGCTTCATGACAGCTGGTGGTTCAGATGTGTCTAAACCAAGACAAGAACATCAGAGTTGAATTATTATAACAAATTACAGACTAGAGTAATCAGTGGTAACCTGCAATTAACTAATTAAAGCAACTAAGTTTGAGCACTCCCCATCTCTGTGGTGCTGCAGAAGGTCAGACACGAAGCAGCTTCTGAAGCAAAAAATACATTTAAATCCAATCTGAGAGAAATGATGTTCTATTTCTGTACATTTATGCAGCAGATAGCATGTACACTGTAGTACTATTTGATATGAAACAAAAAAAAGGAAAGAATGCATAACGCTCAAAGTTTTAAATTAAGATCAGATAAGATTAAGAAGAGTTGTAAGGGTGCAGCGATTGCAGTTTTCTGGCCAATCAGCGATATTTAAAAAATCGGACTTGCCGATTCTGATTTTGGCCGATACAGATTTTTTAAATAGCTGACAATGTCAGGTGTCATAAGGTCACAATACACTTTCAATGGTCCAATCGCATTTTATTGGAAAACATTGAACAATACCCTTGAAACAATATAAACTTGTTTTAACTCGACATTAGGTAGTGCTCACAGCTAAGCAAAAGGGGACTAAGACTTCTGTGGAGGTAGATGAGAAGCCAATATTTCATGATCTTATCTTAGTATCGGCCGATCTCACAACATTGAGGAAATCAGTGCTGATAAATTGGCTGGCCRATTTTTCCATGAACCCCTAGTTGTAGATGTTTTGGATATGAATATAACATTATGTGCGACTTCATATGGTATTGCAAAGTGTTAAGTGTTGGGGAAAACTCTTAGATACAACTAAATCAAATTTTAGCTCAATAYCTGCAACACTGAACTATTTGTRGCTATTGTTTGGGTTGGCTAATGTTAATTAGGTGGGCAGCCATCTTGAAACGAACTGACTACAAAAGTTCACCAGCTGTAGATCCGAAACGTTTTAAACAAAACAACTAGTTGTATAGTAGATTCTGTCATTGGAAGACGTTTCAATTTCCATCCAGAAAGCTTTAAGCTTCCTGGATAGGAAGCCCAATGTCTTCAACTACCGGCTTAAGTCCTGAGCACACTTTTGCTGGAYGTTTTTTCCTGTTAAAATGGAGGCGTTCCTTTCCACATTCACCAACGTGCTGCTCAGGATGGCAGATTGCAACAAACTGAAGATTCAATGCAATCTGCTGGCTGTATTGGACAAATAACTTTTACTAATAGGCATTTCATAAAGTGCGTGAATGTTCTTGTACAGTGCTCTGAGACTCTATGAAATAAATTGAACTGAATCAAGTCTATAAAATAGAAATATTAAAAGTGCATATCAAAAAGCAGCAGCAGTGCCCGGTCTTTACATTTTCATTCTGCTGTCGCTGCCCTGAGATTCAGTTTGTCGCAGCTTTACCAACGTCTGCAAGCTGGGATCAATGACTACTAAAATAATATCTCACCTTTCCCTGTGATCTGTCTGCAAGCACACAAGAATAATGACTATTTCAAGCACTAACAGGCCTGAGTGTTTGCGTGATCGTGCATGTATGCAGCACCTTGTGTTGAGGACAGGACCCCAGGGGCTTAGGCTAGGTGTAATACAAAGAGCTGAGAACTCACCTATCGGGGTCTACCCCGATCTGCCGCTCTCTTTCAGAGCGGCGGGAGTCATGTGAATGACATCACTGCTCATATTTCAGCCAGACAAACGCCTTTGT